GATACATTACATGCGACCCTGTAATAGAAAATTAACCATGAAACACTTTCAGTATTGGATTGTCAAGTAGAAGAGAAACGAAAAAATTTTCACCAACTAGGACTTCATCAGATTAGCACAAAAAAAGTGTTAAAATTGTTTAGAAAATTATATAAAACTGTGAAAAGTCAATAAGTAAACGTGCAATAATGAATATATCATAAAAAAATAAAGAATTTACGACGCCAGTGAAGGTAGTAAAAAATTTGCAAAACCTGGTAGTGGGCAGAGTGCAATAAGAAGATAGTAAAGAGAAGGCAAAGAGCAATCAGTAGTGCAGCGCCGAGCAATAGTCAAAAAGGCAATACGGTACAAGGCGAGCAAGTGAAAAAACGGAGGCAGTGCACGAAAGTGGTTAAAAAGAAATCTGAAGAAGGAGTATACGGATAGCAAAGAAACGGAACTAAAAATAGTGTGGACATAAACGAAACATTATTAAAAATACAATAAAACCCAAATTACGCAGGCACAGTGAATTTTATATACCAGAAAAATAAATTCACCCGTCAAAATAAACCATACAGATAGAGATATAGCCTTTATTTGGTAGTCTAGTGGCAAATATATCTGCTCAAATCTTGAGCATTAATATCTTAAGAAGCATAAGTGAAAGCAGTTTAAAATAAAAATATGTCTTCGAATAATCAATCAACCGTCAGTCAAGGTGTGAACCCGAATCCAAATTCCACGACGGCTTCTGCAAGTGGGGCAACAAGTGCCGTTTCGGATCAACGCAATGCTCCAACAGACACCCAGACTTCTGGAGGCAGCAGCAGTGGTACAACGGCTGCCGGTGGGCAAGCAGATAGTCCAACACGCGTTGCGAAAACACCTGCTGTCAATACAAAGGAACGTGTTATTGACAATGTTCCATTTCCACCCAGCCACAAGTTAACTATGGCAGAGGTGTTTGATCTGCGAACTGGTAAACCAAACCATGACATACTAAAACAGCACTTCATTCTTGAAGGTCGCATAGAGGAGGCACCTGCATTACGAATAATTCAAGAAGGCGCTGCATTACTGCGCCAAGAGAAAACTATGATAGACATTGAGGCGCCTGTGACTGTATGCGGCGATATACACGGACAGTTTTATGACCTCATGAAATTATTTGAAGTGGGGGGGTCGCCTGCCTCCACCAAATACCTCTTCCTTGGCGACTATGTGGATCGAGGCTACTTTAGTATTGAGTGTGTTTTGTACTTGTGGTCACTGAAAATAACCTACCCGAATACATTATTTTTGCTACGTGGCAATCACGAATGCCGTCACTTAACAGAGTATTTCACCTTCAAGCAAGAATGCAAGATCAAGTACTCGGAACGTGTGTATGATGCATGCATGGAGGCTTTCGATTGCTTACCGCTAGCAGCACTAATGAACCAACAATTTCTGTGTGTCCACGGTGGCTTGTCCCCGGAAATTCACGAGCTAGAAGATATACGCCGTTTGGATAGATTTAAAGAGCCACCAGCATTCGGTCCAATGTGCGATCTTTTGTGGTCAGATCCCTTAGAAGATTTCGGCAATGAGAAAAATTCTGACTTCTATTCGCACAACTCAGTGCGTGGCTGCTCATATTTCTACAGCTATGCAGCCTGCTGTGACTTCTTGCAAAATAACAATCTATTATCGATTATACGTGCACACGAGGCGCAGGACGCCGGCTATCGTATGTATCGCAAAAGTCAAACCACTGGGTTCCCCTCATTAATTACCATCTTCTCGGCACCGAATTACTTGGATGTGTACAACAACAAAGCGGCAGTACTGAAATATGAAAACAATGTGATGAATATAAGGCAGTTCAACTGCTCACCGCATCCCTACTGGCTTCCGAATTTCATGGACGTATTCACTTGGTCTTTGCCCTTCGTGGGCGAAAAAGTGACCGAGATGTTGGTGAATGTGTTGAATATTTGCTCGGACGATGAACTTATGACCGAAGAGAGTGAAGAGCCATTATCCGATGATGAGGCGGCGTTACGCAAAGAAGTCATTCGAAATAAAATTCGTGCGATTGGAAAAATGGCGCGCGTCTTCTCAGTGCTACGTGAAGAGTCTGAGTCGGTATTGCAGTTGAAGGGATTAACACCAACCGGTGCACTGCCACTGGGTGCACTCTCTGGTGGCAAACAGTCATTGAAGAATGCGATGCAAGGCTTTTCGCCCAATCACAAGATCACTTCATTCGCCGAAGCCAAAGGTCTGGACGCGGTGAACGAGCGTATGCCGCCGCGACGTGACTCGACGCCATCGCCAGCCGAGGAGGGACAAAAATCATTGTCAGCAGCCGCTGCTGCAGCGGCGAATGCCAATGCCAACGCCAATGCGAATTCAATCAATGGATAATTCTAAGTCCACAGAGTTTTAGTAGATATGTAGGCCAAGTGCCGGCACTCAACGTTACGTTTCATAACAACATTGTATTTGTACTACGGGTAATAAAGGAAGAAAGCGTATTAAGCCAGCTAGAAAAAAAAATTAAACAATACAAATAGGAAAAAAGAAACAAACGAAGAAAAGGCAGAGTAGGAAAAGGAACGTAACTTTTAGGTTTAGGAAAAGCAAGCAAAAGTTAAGCAAAGAAATATCAAAATGCAAGTTGAATGAATCGTGGAGTTGTGTCAAAAGTATAACAGAAACATATAGAAAAAAAAATGAAAATAAAAAAACAACAACAACCCGAAAAGAATAAAAAAAGCAAAGCATAGAAAATTAAATTACAAATATATCTCGTCGTTGTTATTTCATCTCGTCCCACTTTCGATGCACGGTTGTACGCGAATTAAATTACTGTGATTGTAACGGTAATGCATGCATTTTTTAAATTGCGGCATGTGCGAAGCTCTATTGGCGATCAATACAAGTATGGGACAGTAAGGAGATTCGTGTTTGATATACGAGAATACGAGTATGTATGTTTGTCATCACACGTAGAAACATAAGTATGTACGCATACTGTAAATGCAACTGGTGCATGATCGTTAGGGTGCCTCACCAAAAAAAGTTGCGGAATTATAAAATTTATTAAATATATTTTAAAACTTCTGCCACCGATTTTAAAATAAATCCAAGAATCTCATTATTTTGATTCTTAAGCTTAAACTATTCTATCATCTGAGGTGATTTTTTTGGAAGAATATTTTTTAATGGTAGTTTTATTTAAAAAAACAAAACATGAATTTTGGAAGTATTTTCAAATCGGCCCAGCTCACGTGAATTTTAATATTTTTGTGGAAGTTTTAAAATATAATGGTTTTTTATAATTCCGATGAAAAAACAGGATCGACTTTTTTGTATGTGTTGCATCCTAATGTACGCATGTTTGTATGTAAGTAGCATATACATTAGGTGGATCCAAAATACATAAGAAAATAAATTTTATGGAATTTTCTTGTTGCCACCTCAGAATTACATGAAATGAAAAAAAGAAACCCGTATTTTTTTTTTTTTGAAAGTGGTTAATATTTTATGGTGCCGCTGGAGCTTTGAAGTTTTCCATGTTTTTTATAGGGGGGAAATGATTTTTATTTGTGCAACTACTGTAAAATCGGCGAAAAAACAATATTTTGATTGAGGAAAAGTATGATAATTTTCAGAAATTTTCAAACAAATTTTATATGATGCACATTTAACTTTAAAATTTCACTAACTATTTTTTTCTAACCGATAATATTATTGAACGGCATGAAGAGAATTACAGAATGTGCGATAAAAGATGTAACGTCGACGTCGCTAAACGGAAAATGGAATGATCGATAACTTTCGATAAAAACCTTCTAACTCTAACCATGAGTGCGAATGCGGTTGTATAAAAGCGTTGTAACAGCGCGCAAAAAGTTCAGCTGTAAAATAGAAAGCTATGAGTACAGAGATCAATTGCCTTAACAAGTATTGTGAAGTGTTTCTTGTACCGTAATTTGAGCGTTTATTTAACAATCCAGTGAAACGAACCTTAAGGATTTAGTAAATCCGTCGAAAATACAAGGATAATCTTAACAATATGCAATATGTGGGTAACTTCAAAGCGCCGGCAGCTCCATTAAATTCTAACCGATTTCAAAATAACCAAATACGGAAACTTTATTATTTTCGATAATCTTCAGTTCTGAGGGTGATTGGTAAAAAAGAAAATTGGACCACCTTATTGTCTACATACGTATAATAGTGTGCGTAACTAGGCGTGGAGTAACGAGGATCGCATGGACGTGACGCCGTGCACACAATCGCTCATCTGGTGATCGTTTTGTGGTCTTATACGTGCCATCTTCATTATAGTCATATGTAATTGCTGCCTTTATTTCCGTTCGCTCGGTCATTTTGTGTTTTTCTAAGTCAGCTGCATTTTTCAAAAATGCTGAGCTGTTTAATAAAGCGATAGATGCGATTTACACTGTAAAATAAAGAAATATTATTTTATATGTCGTTGCCATATAGTTAAAATGCGTGTACGCCTTAAAACTTCCAGGGTTGCATACATGTACTTAAATATTTTTCAGTTTTTCGAGAGGGGAGTAAATATGTTTACTTTTGATATAAGCAACTTTTCTCTCTACATCTGCATCTTTCTCTCTCTCTCTCTCTCTCGCTCTCGCTCTCGCTCTTTCTTCGCAATTATTTGGACCGAACCGAAGAGGAATCTCGAAATAATCATAAAGCTTAGCGATTTTTATTTTGATATTTTTATAAGGGTTACATATAAACTATTGATCTACAAATAATATTTACAAATTTTCATATTTAAAATAAAATTATTGTTAACCAGATGTGAGAAGATCACATTAAAAAGTGTTTTAGTTAATTGTTAATCAATGAATAGACTATCAGTTTTATGTTTATTTTCTTTCTATGTAAGCGATATGTAACTATATCTAAAAAGAATTTATTAAAATTTTCTTAAATAATAATAAAACTTACTTAAAACTGAAATGTGAATTTACAATTAAGATTAAAGCTAATTAAATAAATATAAAACAAAAATATATATATAAAAAATAATAAAGAATTAAGTTAAATACAATATTTGCAAAACAAAAGCAAAAACAAAAAAAAAATAAATATGTTGAAACTATCAACGCAATCAACAAAGCAAATGCTAAGTTAATAAAACAACAACAACAAAATAAAAAAAAAATACATGCATACATACTTTTTCATTAATTCATAATTATTAAATATAATATAAACTTATAGCAATTTGAAGTACTTTACATTATAGAAATACGTACATACATAAATATACCTAAAATATCGCCCAAAGAACAGCAAAGATACAACAGTTTAAACCATTGCACGAATAAAAAAAAAATTACATAAAAAAAAAATTAGAAACTTAGTGCTGCAAAACTTCTATTATTTTTTTGAAAATTTTCATTGGTGAACGTTCGCTTTTCAAAATTCAATAATAGGCGTGGTTTTCTTGTTTGCATCAAGCCTATAGCCTTTTCACCTTTCATATAAGCATGTACAGTACCGGTCACTTGAATAGTGCCCCCTTTTGATAATCAGTATGGACGGCTTTCCTTTGGTTATATATTGTTTATTAATTTTTTTAAATAAAAATATTGCATATTTCTTAACAAAAACCATGTAATCCGACTTTCAAACTTCATACAAAAATGTATAAGAGGAGTATGTTATTCAATAAATTCTCATCAAAATTTCACAAGGGTAAGCTATTCAAATGACCACCAGCCACTATATATAATTAATACAATTAATACTGACAGTATTTTTACGGTGGTAAATTTTGAATATTGTAAAGCTATCCTTTATTACAATTTCAATCTAAACAGTAGCTAGTCAAAGTAAAACTTGGCAACAAATTTTTTCATACATATGCTGACCCAGCTGATCTCTTTCGTCCAGGTGGTAAAAATGGTTGCGAGAACGTTCGGATAGGCAACAGTTTACTTTTGGAGCACTGGTCATATCAATTCTACTACCGGACGCCATGATTGAGCAGTCGTCAGGGTAAGAGATGATAGATACTCTCTCTGATGGTTGAGGGAGCTTTGATATATACAAACAATTAAATAGAAGTGGCGAAAGGAAACCACCCTGTGGTACCCCCTTTTAAATTTTCCGTACTGACGAGTGTCGACCACTCAGACGGTGTCAAACGCCTTTGATAGATCCAACACTACCAGGACCTGTTCTCTCAGAGGGCGGTTTCGGTTCATGCCATGAATTATCCGGTTGCAATAGGCCATAAGGCTCGTCTTTCTTGGCCAGCTTCCCCGATTTCATTACGTCGGAAATGTTGAGAGTGGCTGTTGATAGGTCGAAGGCCTTAGTGAGGTAATCTACCCCCGCTAGACCCAATCTTTTAGCATCAGCATGCATATTCCACCGGGTGCAATGTCTTTGAAGCCTTTGCCATCTGAATTCGGATTCGATTACTTGGCACTATGAATTTGTATTAGTCCCTGTCGCCTTTCGAATTGCATTTCCTTTCTTTTCTGAACTTTCCACAATAATTTTTCATTAAAAACGGCCTTAAGCTCAATAAAATTGTTGAACATGTTTCGAAAAAATGTGTTTTTTTTCCTTTGACAGAACTTCGTTGCATGAGAAAAGAAATGTTTAAACCAAAATTCATCAAAAAAAAAGTTCGATTTCAACCATTGGTCGATTTGACTTGGACTAACCCATGTACTTTAATTGTCCGCAATCAACAGGGGTATTCATTCGTCACGCATACTATTTTATAAAGCATTTCAAATTTTTTTAAATTTTTTTATGAATAAGGCTTTAAAGTATTGCTGCTGGTGCCCATTCTTTCAGATCTGTATACATTTCGGAGATTCTTTAGATAAAATTTAAATTTCTCAATTCGATATTTGGTCTCGCAAGCAACTGACTAAATGCTTGCGAAATATGTAATTACATTTCTTCTTGCTTGGTAAACTATACTGCATTCTTATAAACTTTTGTGTAACAAAATTTCAACTGTTTGCCCTTTAATTTCACAAAAAGATAACTGCAAACATTTTTAATTTAATTCCCTCATTTGAAGATCAAAGCCATACCAAAAGCAGCGGATAATGTTTCTATAGAAAATCAACAACAAATTGAATTATCAAAATATAAGAAAATACATTTACCTATCACAAATATACATACTACATAAATATTAGGAAATTATTATGAAAAAGTTTGTATTGCTAAAGCAAAATGCGAACAGGAAACGATTACCAATGAAACATGAAAACCTATGCTTATACAAAATAGGTTTGAAATTGGAAAACATTCGTTTGTGATCAAGAAAACGCAGCTGAAGAGAGCATACCACATACATACATAGATACATTTAAAAATACAAAGTAGCAGAGAGCACATCTTCATTTCTAGATAAATCTTAAAATTTTTCAATTTTATTGTAAAAGTTACATATTAATTACGTCTATCATAAAAATAAAAAAAATAAAAAAACAAGAAAATCAATGCAAAACAAAATCCAAAACCAAATTGCAAAGCATCAAAACTCATGCAAAAAAAAAACGATTATTAATAAAAAAAAAAAAAAAAAATAACTAGCAAAACAAAAATTACAATGCGGGAAAAGAAATTACCGTTCGGCGGTATACACAACTTAATGCAATCCTTATAAAATTTTTAAAAAATTTAAGTGACAAAACCAAATTATCAATGTTATTTAAATTAAATAAAA